ACCCGTCAGCGAACGCGACCAATCAGAGCTGCCCAAAATGACAACATTCACAGAAAAAGAAAAGTCATCGATGGCGGCCGTTTCGCGCGTTCACATTAAAATAATCATAATTAAGGTGCTTCAGTGAGGCATTCATCCAAGTTTGTGGCTAAAAGTGAACCTAGGATAATCGACAACCCGTACACTTGTGTGTACGGGTTGTTAGTTGTTGTACCGTGGGCAACTCCAGGCTACAACAAGAATATTCCGTAAGTGCTTACCTTTCTACATCTTATCTGTACTTGTTCACTTGTGCTGGTATTTCACAGCAGTAATAAAGCCCTGTTTTAAGTTTCTACAGTCCACTTAAATCAATTTTCATACCAGCAACCAATCATTCACACACTAACTCGCACCGTTTGATGCAAATTGTATTTTTATAAAAAGAGATATATTTTAGCATAGGGAAACTTTGTACAAAAGACGTTAGCTTGGGTACCTCTGTCCCATTCGTATTTCTACCTGTACAACTGTAAAGCAGTTGTGTTTGTGTAACTGTGTTATAGTTTGAAGGGATATATCAGTTAATTTACAGGATACAGAGGAATATCACCTAAGTCCTCAGGAATAGCAACACATGGGATGTATCATGGGCGAAACAGTATACTCTGTTCATGGTACTGCTCGTGTCTATAGACGACGGTTACCACTTTCCATCAGGTGGACCGTCAGCTTGTTTGCCATTCTAAGATGCATAAAAAAAATATTTTAAATTCAGAATTCAAAATTATAAAATAATAATTATAATGTACGCACCATTACAGAGTTCTTTATACTGTGCCATTCCTCCGTGTTTATTTCATGATATATGTTATATAGTGAAATTAACTATCCAAGTTAATAAGCAGTGGTTATTTTACACATAAAGTGAACCGTCGAACTCTTTGCCATTCCATATTTCATAAAAAAATCTATATATACACAGTCAAAATATCTACTTTGATCGAGAACTAGTCAATTAGTAATTTGAGAAGCTACCTTGAAGTAATCCACAATGTTATAATTATAAATAATTAGAGTCCAATAATTTTACTTTAATATAAGTATAATTACAAGCCAGTCTTAGGTTTACGTAGTAACATTTTGAAATTCAGTTAATAAGAACTGACCTAATTACGCTCGTAACACTTTTGTACGCTCTGACAGGAGGTATGATAAAAAGCTTTAGAAAATAAGTGCTTTATATGGGTCCATTCAACTGGTATGGTCAAGGATACCGTTAATGATGATGTTTGTTCCAGCTTATTATAATTTATCCCTCGTTCCTAATTGTATTGGGATAAGTATTCTTTCTTTTTTAAATGTTTACATTTTAATTTTTAATATATTAAATTACGTTAGAAATATAAAATTTAAACTAGTTTATATGGGTAAATTTGTCCGTATGACCATGATAATTATTTTGATTGATTTGTTATTCTTTTCCATTTCAAAGTCTGAGACGTTAAGATTAATAGTAACAAATAAATTCACTTTTACATTTATAATATAGTAAGGATTATTGTTAATCTTTATTTAAGAAAAATTAATATACAATTGGACGATTTATATTTTGAGCTACAATATCTGTCTTAATCTCGGTAAAATTGTTATAGAAAAAAGAACAAGACTAAGCCATTTCGATTATAACAAATTTCTCGAAGTGGATTTAAAATATGATATTAATATCCCTTATACACGTATAGAAATAAAGTCTAAATTAAAAAGAAATCGAAAATCCAATTAAAATAAGTATAAGTATGCTGAAGATGAAAATATTTTTAAAGTAAATTCGTAATTTAGAAAGTAAGTAACAGATATAAACAATAATATAAACATTATTAGGTTATAGTTGTTTTACTTTATTACCACATATTATATTTAAGTAACTTTATTATTTACCAATTAATCATATAATGACAATATTGTCTGTCAAAGTTTTGAATCATTAGAACATGGAGAACATTTTCTCTTTTAATGAATTTACAGATTGCTGAAGGTTCTTACGATTTAAAAATATTTATAATATAATTTATTATTATACTATAAATAATATATTATTTCACATTTTTTCCAATGGGGTAGACAAAGACGTTTATTGACTGAATGTAACAGTCAACATGTCTATTTTCACTGAGCATGTTCAAATCGAATGTGCATAGAATGAGGCTGCTGCCGTCACGGATTTATTTGGTTTGTTATCTGTATTTTATATTCTGTATATTATTTATATCTGTATCGCGAGAGTAGTTAGAAGATGAAATTAACACACAAAATGTTTTATGTCTGCCAGTTAAAATTAATAATATTACCTGTTTTTTAAATCAGATCTAATGTTGCAGTTACGTGGTACTGTTAGGCGTATATCCTAAAGAATATCAGGTATCAAAATGAGACCATTTAATTTCTTGAACAACACTTTAAGATCTATAAGCTTTCTACGCTAAGGCAGTGTCTTCATGCTAAAGAATTCTACACGATCAGTATAAGTTGCAGTTATTGGATATAATTTATCTTTGTAGGCCAAGTAACGTGTGAAACTTCTTTGTACTCTCTCAATATGATTTATATGATATTGATATTAAAGAAACATATTCAAGTGCAATGCGGACGTATGCGTTGTAGAAAATTTTTTACATGTTCGTTTAAGAACTGTTTTTCTTAATTATATTACCAATATGTTCATTAAGTGATAGTTCTGAATGAAGTGAAACTCTCAAATCTCACAAACATTTCGAGTAAATTTTCTACGATAACGTTTAGAAGAATTTAGAACCGTCTTACTAACATCACACTACTTTTTTACCGCTTGAGGTGTTGCTGTAAAGTATAATTAATACTATAGTATATAACTAGTTAATTTATAATTTATAAAATATGTAAATAATTTCAACTGTAATGATAGCCTATATACATATGTAGCGGGAAATTAATGAAATCACGGTGTGAACTTTTGTTGGAAACGACAAAAACACAGGGAGTTCATACTTTCCCAATACATACATATATTATATATATTTTTGTCTATTATACACAGATGAAAAATACTAAACAGATTTTGATAAAATTTGTAGCTAGACTAAAATATAAAATAGTTTTTACTACAGGAAAATGACTATTTCCTAAGGGAAATTTAAAACTCGCTGCTGAAATAAAACACAAAACATTTATTCATCAAACATTCTTAATCTGACAGTGATTGACTTGCCTGACTGATACGTTTTACCTACTTTTGATGTATAAATAATCATGAGGGCTTTATTTTTTTAAACTGATGCTTCAAAAAGAAGCAGAATTCGAAGGAAATGCCAATTATATAACTTTTTACCCGCGACTTCATCCTCATAACCGGAATATATTCATTGACTGTGATAAAAAATAACCTAGATCCTTCTCTATCCTATGTAGTATTACATGTATACCAAATTTCTTAGTGATAGGTTAAGGCGCTAAAAGGTAACAAACAATCTTACTTTTATATTTATTTTATTACTAGCGGCTCGTCCCGGCGTCGCACGGGTGGACATTTTTTTATTTTAAAAAGTGGCCTTAATGGCCACTTTTTAAAATAAAAAAATGCTGCAAAAAGGCTGCACACGCGACGGAAGCTTAAAAATGGAGTAACTTCTCCCGTTTTTCCAACATTTCCCTTCACTGCTCTGCTCTTATTGATCGCAGCGTGATGAAAAGTATACTATAACCTGCCTAGGAGTACGAAGAATAATTGTACCAAATTTCGTTAAAATCCGTCGAGTAGTTTTTGTTTCTATAACAAACATACAGACAGACAGACAGACAAAAATTTTAGTGATTGCATTTTTGGCATCAGTAGCGATCACTAATAACCCCATGATAGTAATTTTGGAAATATATTTCATGTACAGAATTCACCTCTACAGATTTATTATAAGTATAGATTATGTATTATTATTTTGATTTCAAGTGATATTTTTGTTAATTGCGATCCGATTTTATAGTTTTCTTTTATTGAGATAATTTCTCATTTTCAATCGAGTTCCAAAAGAAAGAGGTTCAAAATTCGGTTGTATTTTTTATATTTACTATTCCATAATTTGGTTATTTCTAAACCGATTTGGATTTTCTTTCTGAAAGGATAAGATTCGTCTCATAGAAATTTTATCAAAATCCGTTCAGTAGTTTAGTTTCTAAATTAAAGTACCTTCTTTTATCACAACTGAATTAGTTTTTTTTTTTTGGAGGAACACAATCTTAATTATTAAGGTTAGAGTAATATCTGATAAAAAACAACATTCTTCTAATTATAAACTTTGTCATATAGACTTTATACCATATTCATATATATGTATATAGAAAAAACTTAACATCAAAATTAGGTAATTCATTTATTTTATAATTATATATTTTTATTATAATAATTGTTACCCAAGTTGATATGAACAAAAATCGTTCTTGAAATCATAAATAACTGAAACCATTAAATTTAAAAAAGTATAAAGTGAGATGTACTAAATATCTCACAACGTTGACCAATGTGAATTAAGATTAAAATTTTCTTGTTTACTGATCCTGAATATATTTTATCTATATAACGAAATTCATTTAAATCTGTTCTGCTTTTTGAGCATGTAATAAACATCTAAATTATTTTAGAAATTTTCAAATTTATAGCTTACAGTTATTTCCTGTAGGTTTATCCACGTGAATCAATTTATAAAACATCTTAGTCTTTACTCAATGATTGAGTAACATACAAATATCCAAACATCTTTACATATTTTAAATTAGTAGGATATCGGGTAATAATTTAAAATATTAAATCAAATTTATTGCAACAAATTTAAGCAAATTTTCAATTAGAAAATTTGGTTCTAGCTCTGGAAAATATGAAATTTCTTTCACAATCGAATCTAGATGAGTTTTCCGACGTATGTCGAGGATGGCCGAACTAGTACGAAATCCTCACCTTTGAAAACGCTGGCCAATGCCGAATCAGTGCTCGGTAGCTATTCGTCGCGAACGGCTGTGGTACCACAAACGCCCAATCGCACCTATTCGTCACAGACTAAATAAAATAAACGACAATTAATTTATTGTGATCCGTGCCATCAAATACGTTTTGACTTGTTGATTGGAGACTGACATAAAAATCTGTGGTACTATTTCATTTTATTATAGCGAGGCTGTGGAATTCTCTCATGTAAATCCTTTTTAACCCGTTATTAAACTTCAAAGAGAAATCCGTGATTGTTTTAGGTTGTTGCTTTATTTTCGGAGAAAATATTTTGTTTTACGAAAAAAATATAATATGATATATATGTTCTTTTATTATATATTTTTTTATTAAATTCTGAGGCAACAAAACTATTCTTGTGTTTCGTTTTAATCTCTTTTTGTAACATCACAAACTAAATTAATATAAACCTAGTAGGTTATATTAACCTAATGTTTAATGAAATTTGACATCTTGACCTTTACTCGCCTGCTAAAAAAGAAAGGTAATGTTTTTAATGGATTTTTTTATATATAAAAAAGTGATAAACGATCATACAGTTAACCTATTATTTGATGTTTAAGAACAATTATCGAAAGTAAATTGCTGCAAACCTCATTAGAGTATTTGTTTACTTATTGTATATATCGTAACACGCTGCTTTAAATTTATAGTTATATTTTTATTGTAGGTACTTAAACATTTCCTTGGTTGATATGTTTATTCCAAAAAAAAAAATAAAGGTTATTTTAAAATACCGTACTAGAACTTGTAATTTTTTTTATTTTATTTGTGTAGTCCTCCAGCCAAATATGTGAATCATCTAATATTTAAAAGATTCGCGAATCGAATATTTCAATTTCACGTATACGTAATATTTTTTTTTATGCAGGTTACCAATTATAAATACTAATCTACTTCGCTTAAAAAAGGATAATAAGGCCACCTAACCCAAATTCGGCACTGTTATCTTAGGTCTACCGGAGTGGGTTCAACATTACTTTTAATGGCCAATACACAATAAATAAATATTTGTATATTTCACACCCAAAACTTAAAATTATTTATTTTAAATATTATATACATTCAAATAATAGTCCATTTTTTTCGTATTATTAAGTGAATCATTAATATTAAATATCGTAGAATTAAACAAAATCTCTTTCTATTTATGATTTATTATATAGAGTGTTTACTCATCCGTAAGAAGGGTTGTCAGTTTGTCTATAAAAAATATAGTAGATAATATTAAGACCTTGGACCGCGTTAATGTATTCTTAATGATGCTTAATGTGTGCTTGTTAGATCTATATTTTCAATAGTTATATTTTATATAATTGTCACATTAGTACAGATTTTTATATAATCAGTTATTAACTCTAAACTTGAAACGAGCTCTAGACTGATTAATTAAGGTTATCATTTAAATTGCTTTAAAGTCAGTGCAGCGCTGTCACTTTAGTTTTGATTGTAATTTTTTTGATGAAATGTTTTTATAGTTTGATAATTTTTTTTATAACTTTTAGAGTCAATCCAATGACTTTATCTAAAGAATAATTACGAGTCAGTTTTTTGAAATTAATACTTGTAACTTATACAATGTAAATTTACATTTACATACCTATAGATGTAGTTAATATTCATAGCACTCATTTTAGCGCTCCACGTGGAACACCGTTTTAGCGCTGTTTAAGTATAAATATATTCAAATATATTTCTTATAATATTTTAATTTATATCAATTTTGTATTCTATGAAAAAAAAATCCAATTAAAATACACTTATTAAACAATTTTGATACCCTATGCAAATATTGTAATATCAAAGAAGAAAATCTCAAACCGAAAATATATCCTTGGCTTCCCGATCGCATAAATAAAACCTTCATGGTATTACCATATATTTACATATTAAAAAGGGAATACACAAAAGTCTTTGCTGAAGATTAGGTAAAATTAGCTCGGTGCTGAAGGCGACCCTTTTCTGCCTGCAATGCTGGGACAAATTACCGATCTGCCACTGCTGACATTCGGTCCATGAATCTTTCTCTCAAGACTTTATCCCAAGAATTGTGCGGAGTTTTCTGAAAAAATTTCAAGACAAATTCAAACATCTTTAACAAAGACGATCTTTAAAACTTTATTTAAAAAAAGGATGTTTAAGTATTTCTGTCAGTGTCTAGTATAGTATAAGTTGTGTTTTATGGGTTCTGCTTAGGACTAGATGGTGTGGTAAATGTACATATATCTAGTGGTAATCTTTTTCTTTATTTATTTCTTATAAGTTTTTTTTTTTTTTACTTCTTTTTCTAATTTAGTTTCAAATACTTAGGACCACGACTGTAATCCCAAGTATGGTAATCAGAGATATAGTAATAATAAATGTAACTTCTACTTACCCAATGACATACTTCACAAAATAACGATACACGTTTTACTCGTTTATAAAACGGGACTCATCATTTATTTTATGAGCTAAAATGAGCACCCCATGCATTTAGTTGTAGTACAGTATAAATAAATAGTATCATGGACAACATTCTCATACAAATAATAGTAGGTATAGTAGTATCACCTGACTCTCAACGAGAACAGGATAACATTTTTAGAATCTATGTATGTCTTTATGTATGAGTGACTTGCTTGCAGTAACATTAGATGTCCCCAAGAGAAAAAAAATTATCAGTTTTTACAAAACTATACTTTATTTATCAATACACGTGTAATAATGTTTTTTAAAATTCTCTGCTACTCCTAAATTAACTGTCAGTTTAACTTCTTAATAGTAATGATACTTAATATATTGAAGAAGTTAAAAGCTCCCAAAGTTAAATTAATTTTATAAAAATGTTTTACGCCCATCGGCGTCACTTTGTAAGAGCCTTTAGGAGGCACAGGTGTCGCTGCAAAGTTACATGATGTAACAGTAATGAGGGTATACCCACTCAGAGATAGTCACTGACGAGCGCCCAAGTTTCATATGCTCAAATTGTGTGTATATAGGTTTATATAATAACATTTAGTGAATGTTTACGACTTCTGTCTTCAATATCCGATGCTATTACACTATATCTGTTTACATATATATTTGTATGTAATCGCATAATATAATATATATGTATGTATAATATGAAAGTAGCGTTTCCATAAGTTCAACATATTTAAGATTGGGGGAAAAGGGATTGTTAGTAATGGAGACTGAGAATCCTATTGCTAGCAATATACCCAACCAGATCACCTCCTCGCGGTTCTCCCTGGAAACTATCATGGTTAATTCCTGATGAATTCATCATGATGGGCTAACTGGCCTGTTTTCATTCTCATCTATCACCCTTCACTGGTGCTCCGCCAGCATATCCCGTTAGCGCAGGCGGGATTACCATACCATTTTCACCCATAAAAAAAAAACATATTTAGGCTTTTATATTTAAGGTGTTATCTTGTGAAAGTCCATATCACTGGTTCATCATATCAACAGTTCATTGTTTATTACTAAGCATAAGCCTTACCCATAAGGGGAGTTTTGTCAGTAGTTGCCACGTTTGGAAGACAGATTGGCAACCGCAGTTAGGCTTTTGGTGATATTTCATTAGGGACGCTGCTTCCTATCCCTCTACTATTAGATTCCCTTAATTTCTTCTTACGACACCCACAAGAAAGGAAGGGATGATCTATTCTATGCCTATTTTGTAATGGCAAACTATCAGCTTGCTAGCTATGTTAAGTCACATGAAAGAAATTATAGACATTGCAAAGCCACGAACTACAAACTCTAAGATTACGTGGTCGTCCAATCCTTCGGCGTCAAACAAGCCTCGTCAAAGAGGGCTGGCGGTTACGCCTATTATATATAAGAGTTTGTTTAAAGCACGTTATCACTAAGCGCCATATAACACAGCGCGGAAGTCTCTCAGCTCCGGATCGTCGGGACTCAGTAACACGTCAGGGGCGTATCATCCGCTGTAAAACGTTTTAGTGTATATATTATTTCTAACATCAATCCTTTTATATACATTACAGACCGAAAACCCCATATTATATAGGAGTACTGACGGCATATGCATATATTGTGACCGGAATACTGAGCACCCGGTCACACCTGACACGCAGCTATGTATGTGAATGAATTCATATAAAATGTACGCAAGCAATTTTTACCCCATCCCGGACAAAGTTTGGGCAGAATGTATTTACTATTGGATGCCATGCTATCCTTACTAATATTATAAATGTGAAAATAAGTTCGTCTGTATACAAGTATTTGTTTGTTAATCGTTATGAAATTTGATATACACGTACATAAATTATTCTACATTTTTTATTCTGATTACTGAACATATCCTAGTAACACGAACGAAGTCGCGGGTAAAAGCTAGTTGATAATAAATTGCTAATTAACAATATTGTAATACATGTATGTATATATTCTTTTATATATATAAAGAGGATGCTAATTATATGTCTGCCTGACCCGTATAACAGATGCATAGCTAAAACCACTAAATATAGGTTCTATATACATATAGTAGATAAACAATAAAAAGAAATTCTGAAAATTCAATCCCTAAAGGTGCAAAATGAGTATTACTCGTAAAAGTTTGTATGGACTTTCATCAGTATAGATGTTATCATTATGAAATTTTAGATTTACGCTCTTCGTTTAAAGCAATAATTAATATATCAATATATATATATATATATATATATAAATAACAAAAAAAACTAAATATAGGACGAAATGGTGTGTAAACTTTTAAAATTGTCGCGAGAAATCAAATACCATATGCACGCGAAGCCACTAGCAAAAGTTGTATAAAATACCTATTACTTAAAATAGACCATTTAACGATAATTATACGAACAAACAAAGGAAGTTTACTCGGATTTTTGTTTCCTTTACATTCACTCGTCGTTTCATTACCTATTACAGCTTAGTCAATTGCGTACTCCTAATTTAGAGATTGAAACACGACGAGGGAGTCGTCAACTGAACTGCCTTCCATCTCCCTGTACATTTACCTATAAAGCTCTTTACCACTAATTATCTCGACATTGGAATAATATATCTATGTATAACACTGTAGAAGTCGAATATCTGTACATAGAAAAAAGAAACGCTAAAAACCAAGTCAGGAGTGATATTGTTGATGAATGTTAAAAGTGT